TCATGGATATGGTGGCAAAAGGACATCTGCAAGAGGGTATTTATTAAAGCATACTAGACTTTGATTTTTTTTCTTGAATCCTGTGCTGTTATTGACCTCCTGAAGTGGGATCTACTGGGAAAACCTTTGATAAGTTTGTCTCAAATAATTTTGATTTCTATTGCAGCTAGAACTTTCTTCAATACTTTTCGTGAAGACCATGAATTGATGCACTCACGAGACCTTCAAAAGTTGGAAGGGGTTCTTTCTCAGTCTCATTTGGAGGTGGAACATACTCTTCTTTCTTCCTTTTTTTTTACTACATACCACATACTAGAGTCGCTTGCTTTTTTTGGTACTCACCATCAGTTGTTGTTTCCTTAATCAGGAGATGGAATTTGCTCGTTCTCTTAGGCAGAGTAAAGTTAACATCAAGATATGTCAGGTAAAAGCTGTAAAATCTTTCTTTGGTAACTGCTAATAAGCTAAGAAAAGAATCTATTCATTTCCTCTTTAATTGCTGAATTTGTTGTCAATCATTTCGGCAGTATTCGTATGATCTTCTGTTGCAATATTTGCATAAAACGCAATCCACTGCAATGCTTGGGGTCATAAATGAACACATCAACTTTCAAGGTGATGCCATTTTCATTGCTCATATTCTGCATACTATATATGCAAAATAGGTGCTGTCTGATTATGGTTTTCTTTTTTTCCTTCCAGTTTCTTCTGGACAGCCCAGTTCCCTTTCTGATGATGCAGAGGTTGTAACACTTATTGGAAGCTTCCAGGACGCTGCTAATCAGATAAACCAGAAAGAAATACATTGGGGAGTGAGTTGCTGAACTGGCCTTATAATTATCTATGGATTTAGCAGATATAATTCTCCCTCCATTAGTAAAAGTAAAAGGGTTCCTGCTGCCATCAGCTCTATACTGAATCCTATTTGTACTCCACTTAAATACACATTTGAATACTTATTCACATATTTCTAATTTTTTTTAACTTTTAACTTATTATACATCTCATAGTTGCTTGAAGACTCCCTAGAAGAACGCATGGAGAAAGCAGGAAGTTTGCTTTCTGATTCTGAAAAGACAGAAGAAGAGAACAAAGAGGGGGATGTAGATGAGACTAAGGTACTTTTTGCTGTAACAATTCATTGTATTCCTTCAGCATTTGAATGAATATGTTTTACTTTTGCTAGTTTTTAGATGATGTTCAAGTATACTGTAGTAGGATTATGAAATTGTGTGATTAATGGCAGAATCAGGTTTTTGTTCTTTAATTTACTTTATCTGTTTCTTGTTCAGAAAAGATCAGTTGAAAGTGGAAAGCAAGGTGCTTCAACGAAAAAGTTGAAAAAGGAGAAAGGTCTTAATGCAACAGCAAAAAGTGCTCGTACTGAGGCTAGCACAACCCCTGCTGCACCACGAGTCAAATCAAAGCTACCTTTGCCCTTAATGTACATTCAGTAATTCCCTCGTGATTTTTCTTGCAAGATGACGTAATATTGATTCTTAACAGACTGTGGTAAACTTTCACTGAATTAAACCACCATAGAATTATCAATTTTCTTTTCTTTACTCTGTGAAATGAGAAAAATGGAGAGAGAGAGAGAGATGGAGAAAAGTGCTTGGATGTGCGTCGCTTCTATTAGCATGCCTGTTATAATAAGTTCTTAACGGGTTCAATATATGGTTGTAAATAAGTTTTGAATAGACATCTCTACATTATTCTTTATTCGAGTCTTGGTTTGCTATTCTGTGCGTATGTTGTTTCTTTAAATTATTTTTTAATGCTTGCCTCAGGTCAACAGAAGTAGAGCAGTCTATTCTTGAGGATTTAAGAAATCGTGTACAATTGAGCAGTGTTTTATTGCCATCTGTCAGCTTTTATACTTTCCTCAACACACATAATGGGTAATGTCCATAAATAATAGTCTTCGTCATTTTTAAATGCTTTCAGATATTTAACGTGCATTATACCTGTGTCAGTTTGAATTGTTCATCAATATCCCAGGATGGATCTTTGGTTGCTGGAGGCTTCTCAGACTCATCACTGAAGGTTGCATCTTAAATCATAGCTTGCCCGATATATGATTGCTTCTTTATTGGTGTCCTTTTCCCTTTAAAGGAAACTTATTGGTTGCTAATTTGATTTCTGCACCACAGGTTTGGGATATGGCAAAAATGGGCCAACAAGGTGGCAGTTGTAAGATATCTCTTTCTATATTACTCTACAATTCTAATATACCTGTTTATATTTCTGTTTGACACAAAGTATGGTGTCAGCTATTTTGCAGGCCGAAAATGATTCTACTTCAAGTGAACATGTTGTGGGGCAAAATGGTGGGAAAAGGTCATATACATTGTTTCAGGGTCATTCAGGACCAGTTCATTCAGCCACCTTTAGTCCTCTTGGTGATTTTATTCTTTCTTCTTCAGCAGATACCACAAGTATGTCATACAGTAATGCATTCTCATAGAGCTTGTCTTCCCTCACATCTCGGTTTCTTCACCTCTCCCCACCTCCCTTCTGTCTTAGTACTTCGCTTTTGTTTCTATATTGAAACTTATTGCAACATTAAAAACATGGACTTCTTGCAGTTCGCTTATGGAGCACAAAACTAAATGCAAATCTTGTTTGCTACAAGGGTCATAATTATCCTGTCTGGGATGTTCAGGTACATCTGATCTTCCATGGATGTTTGATAATAAATACTACTTTTGAAGTTCTTCACTCCCTTTCATTCTTTAGAACTACACTTTTTTTTCATTTTTGTTTTTACCTCTAATACATTTGATGTCCTTGCCTCCCTGCAGTTTAGTCCTGCGGGTCACTATTTTGCCAGTGCTTCTCATGATCGAACAGCAAGGATTTGGTCGATGGACAGAATACAACCTCTGAGAATAATGGCAGGGCACTTGTCTGATGTTGATGTAAGTAGTCTTGTATCTTTCTCTTTCTTTCTCTGACATGCTGCTCTAAATTTATAATCAACTTTGCGGCCAATCTTTTCTGTTAGATCTGACCCATAAAAAAGTCGCACCATTTTGATATCTAGAAGGAAACATTTTCCCTGTCTATCTTGCAGAGTTTTCTTCTTTTTATTTTTGAAAGCAGGGTACATGCTCTTGTTTGATGTTGTATTATATTTCAACCGGTCACAAATGGTTCAACCTTTTTGTTTCAGTGTGTGCAATGGCATGCAAACTGCAACTATATTGCCACGGGATCTAGTGACAAAACAGTCAGATTGTGGGATGTACAAAATGGAGAATGCATTCGAATTTTCATTGGTCATAGAAGTATGATATTGTCATTAGCAATGTCGCCTGATGGTCGATATATGGCATCTGGTGATGAAGATGGCATGATCATGATGTGGGACATTTCAAGCGGAAGGTGCATTACACCTTTGATGGGTCACACATCGTGCGTGTGGACACTAGCTTTCAGGTGGAAAATATAGCTCCTAGATAATCCAAATCATATCTTGAAAATTCTTTTAATTGCACATTTGAATTTCTTAACATTTCTTCCCTGTTCTTGGACATTCAGTTGCGAAGGTTCGCTTCTGGCATCTGGATCTGCTGATTGCGCTGTAAAATTGTGGGATGTAACAACAAGCGCAAAGGTCCCCAGGAATGAAGAAAAGTAGGTTTTCAGCAGTGCAACAAATTTGGTTGTGTGATATATATATAGTCTCGTGTCATATATTCTTGTAGTAATCATTATTTATGTGGTAAAATTGGTTTGAATCAACAGGAGTGGGAATACAATCAGGCTGAGATTGTTGAAAACCCTTGCAACCAAGTCCACTCCGGTGTATAGTTTGCAGGTAAATTCTTTTCTTGGGAATCAGATGCTTCTATTTCAATTTTGTGTGCGCGCGCCTTCTATGGCGGTCATAATAGTACGTAGTATATATGATGAACTTCATGTTTGGGTCAGTTTTCTAGAAGGAATCTGCTATTTGCTGCTGGGGCGCTGTCAAAGAACATGTAAAAAAATCTCTCCCCCCCATGACCTCAAATTTGATGTTGGGGCGCAGTTAGGACAGTCTACCTTCTCTGCACTTGCACAGTAACAATGTGCTGCTATTATGGTTTTACCATGAACTAACCCATGTACCATTCCTCTGTCTAATAAATTTGTCATCTTCGTTATTGTTATTGTAATGACACGGAATCATTAATCAAACACAAGCTTCCTGTTTCGTTGTCGGGTTGGAAGTGTATGATATCTCTCACAATTGGAAAGGACGCATGCTGTCAAATCTCAACGAGTTTGGCGGTGCTTCCCTTAAAAGCATATAATAATATAATATAGAGCATGATTGATTGGAGCTATGAAAGGTGTCGGTTGTTTTTCGTTTTTTATGTTTTATATAATTTTTCCCATTTTTAAAAAATAAGATGAATGTCTAATCGTATCTTCAAATCCCACACGGGGTTAGAACATACGAGAATTCAGCAGTGCTTAAATTAGTCGTGGATCGGGATTAGGTGGTGTAAACGAGTCGAGTTCGAATATTGTTAAGTTTGATTCGAAAATTTTAAAATGGAGCTCGACTCGACTCGAAAACTCGCGAGTTTAAAATTTTTAAGATCAACTCGAACTCGAAATTCTAATTGAAGTTCGTGAGCAGTTCGAAAATGTTCGAAATGAAAAAAAAATTAAACTTAACTCGATAAGTCTCAAACATGAACTTTAAATACATGAAATCTTACTGTATTTAAAAAAATTAATACATAAATATTAATATTATTATTAATTTATTTTTTAAAATAAAATTTTAATATATTATATTTTCGAGTTGCTCACGAGTTTTTCGAGTCGAATATCGAGTAGCTCGTTTCAGCTCGTTAAGAACTCGAGTCGAGCTCGAGTCCATTCGATCCGAGTATTTATCGAGTTTTGATCGAGTCGATCTCGAATAACTTGCGATCTGTCTCGTCTCATTTACCGCCCTAATCGGGTTACATGCCATTTAACATATTTATTTACAAATGATAAGATGGCTCTAAAAGTTCCCAATCTTGGTTGACATAAAGGTGTGGGTTACACAGGAAGGAGATAAGAACAAACCAAAAAGAAAAAAGCAAATGGTTACAAAGCTAAGAATTTAGCTGGTACATTTAGTAAAATCATATGCATAAAATATGAACACCGAAATTAACACAGTAACCAAGTGGTGATGCATGCCTTTGTCGGTAATTATTAGAAGCCAAGAAGAAGATAAGACCGAATTCCAGAAAGCAGCATAGACAGAACGTGTCAAGCGAGATAGAGAGTCCCACTTCCACTGGTCGTACAAATCATATGGCTATGCCTCCACCATCCCCTCCCCACATTCTTTGCATATATCCTCTTTCCCATGGCATTCATGCACAAAACCCCTTCCTCTTCACCACTTGCCGCGATGCAACTAGGTATCCAGTAAGAGAGTACATGCTTTCACTTCAAGTAGAGAGCTTTCACTGGCACCCTACTACAGGTTCATATTCAGCCTCTACTATTTTTTTTGATCTAAATAAAGATTTCCCCAAGCAGGTCTTGTCAGTTGTCCCTGGAAATAGAATTCAAGCTTTTCGCTTTTAGGGCAGAAGGTGCCCATATTAATAATCAAAAACTAAGATGGTCTCAACTACCTACAATATGGAAAACATCCCAAATTGTACACAACATGATAGGAAACGAGGAAGAAAAGTGATAAAAATAAGTATGCACCTCTCCTGATAGATATATCTAAAATTCAGAACCCCCACAACGTAATAGCAAAAAGTCTAATCTCAAACCCACAGCTTGATCTTTCAAAAGTATATTTTCCATAGATTATGAACACAGTGCAAAGGTTATGATTTGCCTAAAGCTTGCATATGGATCAACCTCTTTGAGAAACTACTGCTGTCCTCACTCAAGGATAGCGTTTGATTTCACCTTAGGGGATCAGCATATTGTACGATTAAAAGATTAAAAAAGTAGTCATAATTAAGGACAAATTATGTTACCTATCAAGTAACAAGATACTCCGAAACAAGAAAAACAGCTCCCCACATGCGCTTGCCACTTCAAAGGAAGCTGCAGGAGAGAATCCATCAGAAGTGCAGTGTTTTGAGCCTATAGAAACAAGAAACCCGTGCATATCAATCATTCAACGAAACTAATTTGATGTATTATTGTAAAAAGCTCTCCAAAACACTAAAAGGGAAGCAACTTATAGCCTTGTATTAATGATTTCCATTAACAAAACAAAAAAGCACAGCAACTATCATTGCTAGTCCCAATAAAATAAACTAATGCGCAGCAATTGAAATTGTTTCACTGCATCAAAGAGAAAAGCATTCACTCCGCCATATAGCCCCAAGATAGATTCCCATGAAAGGTCGATGACAAACAAATGTTGCTTCATTTTCACGAACTAAAAAAACAGTATATGCAGACAGGCAGATATTGACGATCCCACAATTCGGTCATCGATTCAAAGTCTATCAAGTCATCTGTGACTTATATAGTAGGTAACTCTCATTGCACAAAGCAAAAAAGCAGTAAAGGCAAAAACCACTCAAATAAAAGCAGCCAGCCAATTTAGCTTGTTCATTTATATAATAGTGAGAGGGAAACGAGTCAATTATGATACCCTTGTTTATTATTATTATTATTATTATTATTATTATTATCATCATCATCATCATTATCCCTATCATAGAAAAGATAAATTCCATTGCCCACAATACACCCAGTTAAATAACTATGATTGCATACAAAATACCTTCTATTCAATGTTTCTTCTTGAAACCATATCATTTGAGGATTTCAGTGTTTGGTGTATCAATGTTAACCCCATAAAACCAGACTATACCTTTGATCAGACAACCCCATTTATTCCAGTCTTCTGCTGGAGCTACATAGCGGAGAAGAATGCAGCCAAAATGATGATGGCGCCAAAACTGATGAAGTAAATCAAAATAAGGTGAAAGAACTATCAACCATTGCTTTGTAATGCAGACATATTATTCATGGATTCAGCTGCTTCAAAAGGCAAATTAGTTGAAAGTTGCCACATATGATACAATGAATCATGTAAGCATGACACTGCAATCCGTTTAATTCAATCTTTTATTCTTCCCTCTTTTGTTATTTATTTCTAAATGAAGACTAATCATATTTTGCCTCCACAGATCAGCATAACATGCTGACGACTCATAGATAATCTTATACATGAACCAAAAGTTTTTGCTTTAAGCAAACCATTATAGGCATACACCTGCTACGTATTCTTAACTCTCATCTTTATCTGCAGGTACTTGCAAAGTCAGAAATATCGTTTCACAAAGAAGCATCTTAAAGTTCGAAGATTGTTGATTTCATGGGTACTATTTACCTCGATGCAGTCCATTATAGAACTAAATGCTTTTCGAAGATGCAAGAAATAATAAAAAACGTTACAATGCTGCAAGTGCTGTATGTCTCCAAAAACTATTCCTAAAACAGACATATGCGAGTACTTCAAACGAAAGAAGATTTGGCTTTAACGATGGTAAGAAAATTAGACCTTTCTATAAGATTTGCTTCTGCACATCTCCATCTAAAGTTGCAAAACTCAAATCCTGCAAAAGGAACATGGGAAAAAAGGAAGAGAGAAGATACAGGTCCATAAAAATTGTGAATGAAGACTCATCACCACACCCAAAACCTAGTCCCCCCAGGGCTTTTCTTCGCTTCAGCCCTCACAGCTACAAATCACCCCTGGTACAGAATAAAATCAGTAAAACCAAGTTGCAAATGACTAAATTTTCACTAAATTAAAGAGAGAAAAAAAGAACACCCGTTAGTCAGAGACAGTAAAACAAGCAACGCATCAGTTTTACGAGAGTAGGGTTCCAAACAGAAACCTTCGTTTGGGACTGAGAGAAGAAGCAACCAGCCAGGTTCTGCAAGATCCAGGTGAAAGCTAACTCCAATCCTGCGTACTGAATATGATCGCATGCGCAGTAATAAAAAAAGAAAAAGGAAAACAAAGAGAAGATGATTTTTTGATGGAGGACCATACAGGCGTAAGCTAGCTACTAATAGGCAATTGATTAACGTAAATGGTCCCATGTTATTCATAGTTTTGCCGTTAAACCCGCACAGTAGCATCAAACGCCACGCTTTGAAAATATGAATTTTTATTTAAATCCATAAATTAAACATATCGAGCATATTAAAAGGGAAAAAAAGATCCATTCAGACATAGAGCATAATCTCAGAGTAGAATATCTCCGGTGGCGTCGGAATCAACACATCCCAGAAATGAAGGGAAGATCATATGAGATAAATCAACAATGATATATATTAAGAGATGAGTGTTGAGAGGATGGAACAAAAACAGGCCGAGAAGTGACCAAAAGGAAATTAAGATCAAATTCCGGCAACGGAAGCTGACAGGAAGAGTCGTGAGCACGCAAAAGCAAAAGTATAGCCTTATACAATTCCCTCTGTGTGCTCACTCTCTTCTGTCAATTTCTACGTCCCACAAATGAATAAGAAAAAGAATGAAAGAAATAGTAAATCAATTCCCATGGGAAACAAAGCAAACAACACAGAAATTTACCAAAACAAAGAAACAAAACTGTTACATAATACATGAACCCAGAGACCAAAAAATATATATTAAAATGAATGAGTCAGATCTGAAAACTAAATAAACTAAACCCGTTTAAGGAAAAGTGTACCAAAAGTAAGACCAAGACCTTAAATTCAAGACCCTTGACGTCTTCAGTAATGTGTGGCCACGAAGGCTTCAAAAGATTTTAGGGTTTTTTGTTCATACCAAAACAAAAACAAAAACAAACCCAGTAAATACCACTGAAAAAAAAATCAAAGAAATCCCCCATCCCCGACCTTTTAGGAAAGGAAGGAAGAAGAGAAACGATAAGAAGATTGAGAAGAGGAAACCCTTGCACCTTCTCCCGTTATAACTTCATCGTTATATAGGATGGATAACTTGTCCTTCTCATTTAGAATACGGAGTAGTATCAGATAGCGGAAAGTAAAGATGTCGTCCACGAAATGTGATTTGTGTCATTTTTAGCAAGAAAATTAAATTATGATGTTCCATAGTTATAATTGTTTTAGGTAATAGTGTATCTCTAATAATAATAGTAATTATGAAACAATAAGTTGGTGTAGTGAGATGAGGCACTAGGTCTCTTGAGCAAGGTCAGTGGTTCGAATCTTAGCGTTTGCGAATGGAGCAAACTGTATTGGGAGGGTCACCCTCGTTTTTGCAGAACCCAATTTAGATTAGTCAGTCAATATATTGGATATATCCAGATTAATAAAAAAACCAATCATCGTTATAATTGTGTAGGGCATACTTAGGTGAATAATCCCGGAATCGAACCATGAATAAAGAAAGTGTGGAAGTCGTTTAACTATTAGAATAATGCGCTATCAAAAAAATATTATTTATGTAATTAATTATAATTTAGATTCAAATATTTTTGTTATTAGTTTATAGTATATTATAATGGTTAATTTTGATTATTATTTCAATTATAATTGTAATTATGAAATGTGAACATTCCTTTGTTTTCTTTTTAGTTTGTGTAGTTTCTCATAGATTAGATTATTATTTTTTATTTTGTTTAGTAGGCGATAATATTAATTTTGATGCTGGTTGTTGAAGGTCGATTCTTTTTTTTGTGTCTTTTATTTATTTTTTAATAAGAATAATTTTGACTTTCTTGCACGTATTTTGTTTTTTTTTCCAATCGTTTGGTCGTTCTTTTATGTTTTCCCATGGTTGATTTTGACGACTCCACGACTGATCAAGATAACATTTATTTATAATCCTGATGTTCTTTCCTATTGTGAACCCTCAAATTTGAATTTGGATGCGGGATTTTGTGTTCATGGATTATTTCTCATGACGATGAGCACTGGTTTACCATTCTCAGTGGTCTTTTAATAGTTGATTCACTCAGACTGTCGTAACCGGTTTTCGTTCGGGCACAAAATATTTATTTGGCGGGAAAAGTGATGTGAATAAATGGTTTTTAAAATAATTTGGGAGTCGCCATCGGCCTTTTGGGTCAGGTAGGTCGAATACCTAAAAATCATCCTTTAAAAGAGTTTTTAAGAAAACATCGATTAAAAGATAAACTGATCTGCGTTTTAACCAAAAATTCGTTCTTTTTAATAATAAAAAGGGATTCGTGGTCGGTTACGTTTAGGGAAGGATTAGCACCCCTACAACGCCCAAAATTGGTACTTTTTAATTATAAATTATCTCTATTATTAGAAATTTAAAAATTAAAAATATATTTAATTTATAATCCTATTATTTCAAAATTATAATTATGATTTTAAGTAAATTTATTAATTTATATAAATTTATAAATAAAATTATTTATTTATTTAAAAATATCAGAAAAGGACTTCTAGGTGTCTTAAGACAGCTATTTTCTCTTTGATATTAAAAAATAAATAAATAATTAAAATTAATATATAATTTATAAAATAGGATATTTATTTATTTAAAAATATCAGAAAATGGACATCCAGTTGTTTTAAGACTGCCCTTTCTTAATATTGAAAAATAAATAAATATTAAAACAGGATTAAAATAAGTTAAAAGTAATTAAATAAGATTTTAATAAATAAAATAAATATTATAAATATATATATTTATGGCTAAATAATAATAATAATAGTAATAATAATTAAAAGTAAACATATAAAATTAACATATAATGAACAAAATTAAAACTATATATTTAAAATAAATAAAACTTGTAAAAATAAATAAAAATTAAAATTAGTGACTAAATTATAACCTAATATAATTAAATACCTAATTCATAATTACTTAAAAATATAGTGGCTAAACATACTATATTACCTATTTATTAATGTAGTGACTAAAATAAACATATATTGAATTCAAATATTAAATTAAAACAAATTAAAACATGCTGTTTATGATTAAAATAATAATTACTAAACTATAAGGGACTAAATTCAGTATTCATCCTAAATATATAATTATACTGGACATGACTGAAATAAAATAAAATAAACTTCGAAGACTAAATTATAATAGGCAAAAATTACTTTCAGTGACTAAATTGCAAGGTATACAAACTTGGAGCACTACGGACGGGGTTTACCCTTTATGAAATTACAGAAACACCCTCCCCAAAACGGCATCGTTTGGGAGAGGGTATTTAAATACCCTAAACGGCTGGCCCTTCGGGCCAGCATCCTCATTTCTTCTTTCTCTCGCCTCTCTCTTACTGAGAGAGAATTTTTAACTCTCTCGCCTCTCTCTAAAACTGAGAGAGAGACCACCGGCCGGCAGCCGTGCTCCGGCATTGACAACCACCGCCGGCAACCGCTGCCAGTGGCGGAAAATTTCAAAATTCCCAAAATAAAAATCAGAACGTCCTAAAGACGAATTCGATGTCCTTTTTCTCTAAAAAGCCTTGTAGTTACCTAGATCTACAGAAATACTCTCGGTATTTCAATTTCTTTTACGGCGTGTGGAGGTTCTGACGACGGCGTAGCTTCCTCGGTGGTAAGTTTTCTCCCTCTATTCTCTCTTTGCT